TGCCGGGGGGCTCGGAACGGCAGAGCCCCGGGTCGCTGCCGTGTTGTAAAGGAGAACGGGGCGGGGCAGAGAAAAGGGAGCCCTTTAAGTTAGCAGCGATTAGTTTTCTGGTTTTCCTGTCTCTTAATTCTCACCCTGCACCTGCGAGGATCTGGAGCCGGTCTCGAGGGCGTGCGGCGGTTCAGGAGGCACCGCCGAGGATGGCGAGGGATTCAAGATCAGCCTGTCTCACGGGAGGGACCTTTCGGCAATCATGATTTATATTTCTGTTTTGCAGTCTTGTCTTTTCTAGGAGCTGTGAGCTAAGACCAAGCTGGCCTTGTTCTCACAATGAGTGTTTGCGATTCATAGCCATGTGCTTTAGTGACAGCCTACCTATGTGCGCACATCTGCTGATATTCCTTGCAAGCGTACTTGCTTCCTAAAGGGGCGAGTGACAGGAGTTGCCCCAGAGCAGCCATGTTCCCTCTGTGCTATGGCTGACATGACTGCCGGTCAGTTTAGGGAAATAGTGAAGATGTCTGTCTTCTGCCAGCCAACAGCAGGATTGTGTAGTCTGGATTTGAAACGTCTTGTGACCAGCATCCTGCCAGCGCACAGGAACTGTGGGTGCTTGGTCAAACAAGCATCATGTGAGCTTTCGCTTCCAGGCACCGAGCAGAATGTGAGCATAGGCTGAGTTATGTTGTACTGAGTTCAGGGAGTGGACTGGCCATTCAGGCCAAAACTGTACTGTGTCAGTCGCTTAGGTCTTTTTTTTTTTTTGTGAGGGGACGAGGCATGAGTGTGTCATCGCTGGCTTGGCTGTATGTTAAAATCTGACATGTCTGACAAAGAAATAGCGTTTGTAGTGCAGACTAGGAATTCTGTAGCATCACGGTTTATGTACACTCATGCTTTGTGCAGAATGCCTGATCTCTTTAATTGCTCTAAGTAACTAGAAGCTCAGGTTTGTGTTTGCATTTGTGTGCTCGCTTTCTCTCCAGAAAGAGGCATGAAGTCCCCATAGAATAAAACTATGAGTAAAGTAAATGTTCAGTTTTAAAAATTGCTGAATTATTGGGACTGCTTCCTATAACATATGCCGAATCCTGAAAGATCTCCACTTAGTTTTCTATACCTACACTGTGTTACAGATTTACAATTTGACTTGGTATATTTCTACTGCAAACTTTAATATTGCTAATTACTGTTTCGGAGTAGGAGCTGAAGAAACAGTACAGGAATCAAGTTGGGGAATAAACTGGTCTGTGGATCTTTTATGATTCACGGTCTAAGGTTCTGCTTTATACGCCTCTTAAATTATTAGGAAGGAGGGGTTTGTTACATGGATAGAATTCTTTTTCAGACTTTTCAGAATACTGGACTTCTGCTATTAGTCTAATACATCTTCGGATATGTAAGCAGTCTGTACACCCCAAGCACTATCAGAATGAAAAAACACAGGTACTGTGTTGGAGAACTTTTCTGAAGTTTGTCTTATAAAACAAACATGGACTTAGGCAGAATATGTAGAGAGTTTGAAGCTGTGCTTCCCCAGTATTCCACATCAAAATAAATTCTAAAAAAGGTGTAAGATTTGAAGTTAATAATTGTATTATTGCCTATTTGTATGTGAGCATTATAATAAAAGTAAATTAAAAGCTTTGATGAGGAGAGGTTGAATTCCTCAAACAGCAGTGCTGCACAATTAAGATATCAGGAGTACTGCAGGTAAAGACTAGGGCAGCTGAGGAAGGGTATAAAATACTGGAGTCTAATGAAAGGCATCACTGTGTGCAAGTCAGTAGTAGCCGCAGAAGTAAGTTTTTCTTATTAATATTGCTGCTTAATCAGTTGCGATTGAGACACTTTCGAGTGCTAATGAAAAAAATCTCGTAGCTATCAAAGGAAATCCTGTTATATAGAAAGGAAATAAGAGCATACGATGATGCAGTAATTTGCCAGCTTGCTGGGGCAGTGGCAGAGGTATGCTCAGAGTTGTGCGTATCTGTTGGAATGGTCAGTCTGTCTGATGTGCCTGTACTAATACATGGAGTTTCAGTGTTGTTTCACCTCGTCCAAGAAGAGACTTGATTTATTGCTGTGTGAGAGGACACTGAACTGAATGATCACTATCTTTCTGAGACTGTTGAGTAATTATTTCTTTTGCACAGGATTATTTTGGTGTCTGTTCAGAGGTGATGATCAAGGACAATGTTGTGGTGGTTTATGAGGTGCTGGAGGAGATGCTGGACAATGGCTTTCCATTGGCAACGGAGTCTAATATTCTTAAGGAACTGATAAAACCTCCTACTATCCTGCGAACAGTTGTCAACACCATCACAGGTACAGGGAAACAAAAATTTGATAAACTGGGGAGGCCGTGTGGCAATATTCCTGCATAATTAAATTTGGACATGGCTGAAGAAAATTTATGTTGTCGCATACCGTTCTAAACCCTAGCATAGGTGTATTTAGGGAGTCCTGTGTTAGTGCTTTGCTTTGAGGTTCCTTCCAGTGCCAGCACCAGCTGCACTTTTTTTTTTTAACCAAAACAGACAGATTACATTTCCAGTTACAGCCATGACATGATGTCCTAGATGAGTTAATTTGGTGTGGATTTTTTGTTGGGGTGTCTTTTTGTTTTGTTTTTCAGTTACACTTCCCCCGGCCTTATTGTGGTACGTTTTAGCATTGGATGTAAGAGAGATGTAAATTGTAGCATGCAAACAGTGAGTCTGGAAGCGTAATTGCCCTCCTACAAAGAGACAGAGGTTCTTGGGGATTAATTACAATTAAGTTATATGAGGCCAAGGACCTCTTCTGGAGCCTTGTCTAACTTTTGTGGTTGTTGTGATTGCCTTTCTTTTACCAGGAAGCACTAATGTGGGTGACCAGCTTCCTACTGGACAGCTATCAGTGGTGCCTTGGAGACGTACTGGTGTAAAATATACCAACAATGAAGCATATTTTGATGTGATTGAGGAGATAGATGCAATCATTGACAAATCGGGTATGGAAGTTGCTTCTGGCTAAGATGAGGGTAACTTGTCCTAATAGTGCTTGAAGAGAGATTTGTTTTCAAAGAGGAGCTCCTTCATCTAAGTGTGGGAAGCTCTGTTCCTATTCTTACTCTGGAATGTTGCCAACTTGTAGGTGCTACTCAGTTAGAAATTTTAGGGAGGTACCAAGGTTTTCACTTGTCCTTGGTCCTGAGGTCTTCTAAGCAATTCTATATTGGGAAAATACAAGGCGAGTGAAAATTGTGGATAGCACTATCTCCTTGGTATTGCGCATCTTAGTCCTGTTAGAGTTGGGAGCTATTGTCATTAGCCATTAAATGGACATTGCTGGTGTCAGTGATTCTTATTTGTATGTATCTTCTATAGAACTCGTTGGGAATGAGAAAAATGTTGAGCGGGCAACATAACGAGCCATGACATTTCATAAAGATTATAACTTCCTCCCCATTGATAGTTCTTCCACACTGGGATTTTTTTGATCAGGTTCACATAACCTCCCATGTTTACTTTATTGTTGCAGGTTCCACAATTACTGCTGAAATCCAAGGGGTGATTGATGCTTGTGTCAAGCTGACTGGGATGCCAGACCTTACCCTCTCATTTATGGTAAAGTTCAAGGATGTATCCTTACTTACGTAGTTTGAAAAGGGTTTCCCAGCCCTGCTGCTAGGATCTCAGCCTCACAGATGGATTCGAGTAGATCAGAACCTGGGTATGCCAAACAAAAAGAGAAAGAGCTGACAATGGAAACTCATGGTGAACTTCAGCAACTTTGAGCCTAAAGGTTTTATTTTCAGATTCATTGTTAAAAGTACTGTTAGTGTGTGCTGTGATGAAGTTTCTGAGATACAGTCGTGCTTCAGGCAGATATCCTAAAGGGCCATCTTTTTTCTGAGTATGCATCAATGTAATTATTTGACATGACTGAATTTTCTAAAATACGGTAGAGGTTATTGAGTACTGCTATCACACAGATGTAACAGCATGAAATAATTTCACATGTCTGAATGTAGATACTTTCAAGTGGGCAGAGTGTGTCGAATGGTAGGCCCTTCACGGATAGAAGACTGAGAAGAAGAGGAGGTTATTTTAAGTAGTACTGCCTCCACTAACCTTGTGATTTTCTTTTATTTCAGAACCCTCGGTTACTGGATGATGTCAGCTTTCATCCATGTGTGCGTTTTAAGCGCTGGGAGTCAGAGAGAATACTCTCCTTCATTCCACCTGATGGAAATTTTCGCTTGCTCTCCTACCATGTCAGTGCTCAGAAGTAGGTGATGAATGTAGTGCTGTGAATTATGAAATTTGGATCTTTCTGGCTGGCGGGGGGGAATCGCTTTTAAAGATCAGGTGGCTTGTTGGGCCAAATGAAGTAGAGGTGCACAGTACCTTGCACTTTTCCTTTTGTAAAACACGTTTTCTCCTTGTTTGGAGCAGTGATGCTGTCATTTCTTTTTGGTCAGCCAGCATTTTTCAAAGACTAGTAGCAGATGAACAAACTAGAGAAGGAAAGAATTAGGCAGTATGAAGTAATCAAGCTGTTGATTTCCTATGTTTATGAAAAAGTTTAGATAAAACAAGATAGTTTGGTAATCTTGTTGGGTTTTTGACATCTCTCTTAATAGAACTAGAAGTTCTTGTCCACTGTTTGCGCTCTTTTCTAGAAGCAGCTTACCAAGTATTAATCGGGGTTACAGATGCTAAAGCATTTTGTTAGACTTTGTCAGACTTATCTCAGTTAGGTGAAAAGGAGCAGGAAATCCAATCGAAAGCACAAACATGAAGTTCAAGTGTGCTGCACTGCCTGGAACTACTTACCAGCTTGGTCGTGACATGCAAAAACATTCCTCATCCTTTGCTCAAGTGTCCTGTTATATTCGATGTAGTTACCTGTCCTGTAGAGAGGTAGAAAACTAAGATATGGCAAGCTGGATTAAAAAAAGTGTAATTAAGACTTGAGAACAGGATTCTGACTTTGTTCTTAGATCAAACAAATGAGCGTAGGATTTCATTCTCTTTTAAGGAGATTGGTTTCCAGTGTTTTCAGTGTAGAAGGCAAGGACTGCATCAGGAAAAGCAAAGGTGAAGTCGAGAGATTGACAAGGACTTTCTGTTCATGTCTTTATTCTAGTCTTGTGGCAATTCCTGTCTACGTTAAACACAACATCAGTTTCCGTGATAGCAGCTCACTGGGACGTTTTGAGATCACAGTGGGGCCAAAGCAGACTATGGGGAAGACTGTAGAAGGAGTGATGGTCACCAGCCAGATGCCAAAAGGTGTCTTAAATATGACCCTCACACCCTCTCAGGGAACACATATCTTCGATCCAGTTACAAAGGTGAGAGGAAAGAGAGAGATTAGTTGTTTTTTTTTTTAACCTTCTTTGTCTTCCAGCAAATGAAGTTGAGCTGTTCATGCTTACATGAACATTTCCTTGAGCATTGCTTTTCTGACGGCAGTATCTTTTCTTGGGGTGAGAACTTTTTCTGGACAGTTGCATACTAGAAGTTGTCTTAATCCCCACAACAAATAGCTCAGTGTCTCAGTGGATTGTAGTTCTGGTTGCTTGGTGTGTGCAGAAAATCCAAAAACTGGTATTGTATGATGAGGCATTAGTCTGGTGGATGCTTTACAAACTTCTGCATATCTAGTTGTCGTGCCTAGTACCACACATTATACGTGGTCCTTTGCAAACACTGAGGATTTGGGTTGGTTAGTGGGTTTTGATTTGTTTTGGGGTATTCTGGTTTTGTTGTTCGGTTGTCAGTTCACTTTTTTTTTTTTTTCCTTATTGCAAACTTAAATTTGATGGTTTACTCACAGTAGAGCCTCAAGCAACACTGCTTCAGCCACTTGGAAAGGAGGCAATTCTGCATTATTTTTGTCACTGTTACACATAGGAAATGGGGCCTGTAGCACAAGTAGCGGAAATATAATTCATGGTAGGCTTTTGGGGAACCTCATGGAAAGAGAGAGGGAGAACAAAGGTCCGAGGCAGCTGCTCCTTAAGCCTGTACTGTGTCTGTCTAATATGAAAAGCAAGATACTAAGACCTTTTCCATAAAGCATCATTAAAAGCTGTCATTGGAAGGGGACTCTTCTTTAGAGGGTGTTACAGCATTTCTGTTTCACTGCTGCATTTTCTGTTCCTTGAAGTTGCTGTCATGGGATGTGGGGAAAATAAACCCCCAGAAGCTGCCAAGCCTGAAGGGGAATGTGAGCCTGCAAGCTGGGACATCAAAACCAGATGAAAACCCCACCATTAACCTGCAGTTTAAAATTCAGCAGCTGGCTATATCTGGTAAGTGACTGTCAGGTAAAGAAGTTGAATATTCTCTGCTGTGTTAGTGCGCTCTCTGCATGTAGCTGAAGTAGCTTGTCAGGCCTTCTGAAGTACATTCTATCTGAAACATGTTCTTCAAGTAAAATTGTGTGCTTAACTACAGATACATGGATTTCTTCTCTTATGCTCTGTGAAACGGCCTATCTACATTTCCTTGCATTTTGTGCTTACAGACCTATAAAGAACCTTAGGGTATAGATGTGTTTGTAAAGAATGATTCTGACAATTAGCACTTGTCAGCTTTTCTCCGTTCTGTTTACTACTCGCTAAAACTTTCCCTATAGTTTCTGCACCTCTAGTATGATCTTCTGTTCCTTTATCCTGAAGGCCTGTCTGCTTTATTTGTGGCAGCAGTCAGTCTTATGCTGTGTTTGTTTGCCTTTAGGACTGAAGGTGAATCGCTTGGACATGTATGGGGAGAAGTACAAGCCCTTCAAGGGGATAAAATACATGACTAAGGCTGGCAAGTTCCAAGTCCGAACCTAGAGGATCCTGATAGCGAGGAAGAGCACTTTCCTGTTTTCTCCTGTTCCTGGCTGTTGGATGCAGCCTCTTACCCCATCCATCTGTTTAGGGTTGCTCCCTTGCCTGTAGTAGCATGAGCAGGAGAGCCAGTGCTTAGGGTACTGGGGAGCAGGGAAAAGTAAGGCTGACCTGAAACCATCTCATCCCTAGCTGAGTCTGAAGTATTTGGAACAATGGCAGATGGGAGAGGCGTTCAGGTCCCTTGGGATTAGTGAGTCAGCTATGTAAGCTTGTATCACCTTCATTTTGCTGTCTTAAAGGAAATTCTAGGGATTTATTGCCTTTTGTGACTCCTCTTCCTTATATTTTGGTTGGCTTTTATCCCTTTGTAGATGATACAAAGTTGAATTTCCACAGACTTCAACTCCAGATGGTCCGGCATTTGCCCTTCTCCATCACTGGGTGTTAGGGTGGAGAGCTGTATAGTTCTTGGCAGCAGAGAGATCATCTAGCCGTTCTGCCTCAAAGGGACTGGAAGAAGTGGAAAGGTAGATTGTCCCACCCGGGATGGGAAGTTAAGAAGCCTGAGATTGGGGGTGGTGCCACAGAGGGAGGAAGGGAAGAAGTGGATTTTCTAGATATTTCATAAGCCATCTTGGTCATCAAGTATCTTGAATCTCTGGAGATAGACTGGAAACCCATCCAAATCTCAGTATGGTATCCTGTGAAAGGCTGACTGTAGCACATGTGATCTTGTAACTGATGGGTGGTGACATATGAATGTAATTCTGCTTCTCTTCTTATTTTGTCAGTATTTGAAGGTAGGGATTCTCCTAGCTTTTTTGGGGAGTCAGGGAAGAGACAGAGAGGCTGGAGAATTTTTGTGGAGACGTAGCGCTCTGATGGAAACTGAAGCTGTGGCTAAATGAAGATGGTCACTATCCTAGTAACTTGTTGGAACCTCTTTTTGTCTCTGCCTGCCTATTACAAATGAAGGTGATACTGCTGTTCTCCTGCTCACTGGTGTGTTTCTTCGAGGTAACTGTGTCCTGGTACCTTTGTAGTGTTTCTGGCTGTCCTACCTCATTCCAGTTCCTGTACCAATCAGCTGCTGTGCAGGCAAATTCAAGCCTACGCTGGATTTTTCACTGGGACCATCTTTTCTGCAGAAAGTGTTGCTGCATCTGCCCATTCCCGTCTGTGCTGCATCTCTGTGTACAGCATAAATATGAAGTGAGAGGCATCCACATTGTTGCATATTATCTGTAATGTGCTCTTTGGCCACTAGATGCCAATGTGTTTTCTCTGTGGCAACAGAACTTGTCCCCAAGCTGCTGTACATGTGACTACAGCATCTGTCAGGTGGCTGTGGAGTCCAGCATGTACAGTTCATCTTGTGAACAGAACAAGGTGACCCTAAACGAAGGATAACATACATTCTGGTTTGCATGTGATGGATACTTGCAGTGGATGAGTGGCAACTTGGTTGTGGAATTGCAAGTTCCAGTGCAACTGAGGAATGCCATAGCAGGTGGCCTTACTGCTGAGCATGTTCACTGCGAATATAACCTTCAGCAAGGGCATCAATAAAATTCATTTGTACGTCATCTGTGTCATTTCAGAGTGGTTTGTGTGGGCTTTACAAGAAATACAGTAGGTATTGAGGAGGAAGGTAAATTATGTCAGTTGGATTGTGGCTAGTGGGTGCCTTAGGGAGATAAATGTCTTTATGCAATTGGGTTTGTAAGCTTGGGACTAAGTCACTGTCTGAAAAGCTAAAATTAATTACTCCCTTGGTAATTTTTCTTGGTGTTTCCCAAAAGGAGTGCCTAGCTCTTCCTAGAACCTCAGTGAAACTGTCTTTAGGAATGCAGCTGGACCATTTTTGTTTACTAGGTAGGGTTTTGGGTAGCAGGCTAACGGCTGTGCTTTAATTATGAAGACAATGAAATACCTCTTCACCTTCCTGCTCCTAAAGGACTGATATTGTCCTTTGGCTTTGTAGCTTTGTTTTTTA